AGGCTAATTAGCAGCTACTTACCAGAATGGCTTCAATTTCAAGAGTTCTGTTCTTTCATTGTCCATAAATACAACCATTTTTGTCAGGCGATGAATATAGATTTTTGGATTAGCAAAAAGAAAAAAAAAGGCATCAATGTAATTAGAATGTAAGAGTGAGCAAGTTTTATTGAAAATGCTCAACTGTGATTGATTAGGTAGCTAGAGATAGGTAAGAGGTTCAAGGATGTCTCCAACGGGGCAGGTGTTGGAAGTGTGAAGCATGGAGGTGTAATGATCAAGCGGAACTGTTCATTTCATTTGGTCAGATGGTGAGGGATAGAGGAGTGTCACAGGAGGTGAGGATAATAAGGAGCACCACCAGCAGCTTAGGAATCACGAGACATTCTCTTGACCATTATTATCTGTTCCTCGTCCTATTCATAATCATTAACTGAGAGTTCTGAGACCTTGGAAGTCCCTTGCTAACCTATCTCATGGTTATATTGAAGTTGTGAATTGTATTGAAAACAGGTCCCTTTAAATGATTTTTCTATTTTGCAGAAAAATCAGAGGGGATGTAGCTATGCCATGACTTTGTAAGCCCTGGTGGGAGTCAACGTGGGGGCAGTAGAGGCCGATGGGCAGGCCCAGGGTTCCTGCACTCACTATGGTTTGTTAGCTCTATGACTGTAGACAAGCCAGTTTGCCTCCCTAAGTCTTTTCCACACCTCTAAAATGTTAGGTCAGAATCAGATGTTTTCATGCTATTCTTTTTCATTTTTTTTTAGAGGTTTCCGGTATAGGGCGTGTGCGCTTGCCAGACAGACAAAGAGAGACAGAGAGACAGAAAGCGAGAAATCACCCCCCTGGGGGGATGGCCATGCCACCAGTCCCTTCTCCTCCATTCTCTTCTCGGGATCTTGGGCACGCACACACACGCACCCGGTGTGAGTTTTAAGCCACCGAGTCCAGGACTCGAACTGCGGATGACTACATGGGAGTCCAGCGACATAGCCATTACACTAACTGCTGGTCCCTCTTTTTCATTTTCTAAAATTTATTTTTATTTCATCTATGAGCAAGACAGAGATAGACACTGAGAAACAGGCATCCCCCCACAGGGTCTTGACACTGTGACCCACCACTAGCCTCAGCCAGCCCTGGCTCATGGGCACATGCCCTTCATGTTCAGAGAGGTCTCCAGAGGCAAACCTGGGACTTTCCCATGTGGGTCAGCCTCACAGTACGTCACGTTACTGCTGCTCCACCTTCCAGCCATCCCCCTTTTATTTCTTTTTAATGAAACTTTGCTCTTTCTGGGTGTGCATGTGTGCGCTAGAGGAGGTAGTGGGAAAGGGAAAAAGCATCCCCCATGAGAAATCATGCCAGCAATTCCTTCTCCTTTTCTCCATCCTCTTGGGATTTGAGCACACATGCATATGTACCTTGCATGTTTCCCAAGCTGCCGGGCCTGGGACTCATACAAGGTCAGTCATATGGGATCTGGTTACCTTCACCTCCAGGCCACAAAGCTGGACCATAATGAAACTTTTTACTAGAGAAACTACTCAAATTCTGTTAATATGTAAATATATTGCATTATTACGTAAACATACTGCATTGTTGGAAAAGACATGACACATTTTTCTATGCAAAAATGTGTCAGGACTTTTCTCTTTTTAGTGAGATTTTTGTTATAGGGTATGTGCACTCACCAGAGACAGAGAAAAAGTGAGAGATCATCCCCTAAGGTGGATGACCACGCCACAATCCCTTCTTTGGGATTTTGAGCATGCATGATGTGAGTCTTAAGCTACATGGGAGTCCAGCGACATAACCATTACACTATCTGCTGGTCCTGCTTCATGACTTTTCTGATGCCCCAATATAATTTATATATAATAGAGAGGCTGGCAGGTGGTGTGGTGGTTAAGGGCACTGGACTCCCACGTGGCCAACCACAGTTCAAGTCTTGGACCTGGCGGCTTACTTTCTCACTTTCCTCCTCTCTCGTGCTCTGTCCCTTTCGGGTCAAGTTAAAATAAGTAAATAAATAAAGTTAAAATAATTCTAAAATATTTTCCCTTCTAAAATATATTTTTAGATTGTAATTCTAATTATAATCTAAAAATATATTCTTTAAGTATAATTCTAAAAAATATATTTCCCTTCTAAAATATATTTAAGAACATAATTCTAATTACAATTCTAAAAATATATTTTTTACATTTATTTTATGTAACTTTATTTATTTATTTACTTATTTTAATTTGACCAGAGAGACACAGAGTGGTGAGATAGCAAGAGCTAGGTCCAGGACTTGAACTACAGTCAGCCATGTGGGAATCCAGTGCCCTTAACCACCATGCCACCTGCTGGCCTCTCCATTTTAAAATAAATAAATAAAAATGGAGCTGATGTGCTTAATGGGACATGGGGAGTTAGTTACAAACTCCAACTTTTTTTTTTTTAATTCCATTTGTTATTATTATCTTTTAATTTGACCAGAGAGAGAAAGGGAAAGTGAGAAAGCAAGCCTCCAGGTCCAGGACTTGAACTGTGGTCGACCATGTGGGAATCCAGCACCTTTAACCACCACGCCACCTGTTGGCCCTGGAACCTCATCTTTCTATCCACCCATATTTTCACAAAGTTCTTTCTTAGAGGTGTTTTTATGATAGAAACCATGTGCATTCATGGGGGAAGAGAGAGAGAGAGAGAAAGAGAAACTACTCTCAACAGAGTCTCATCATGCTGCAGAACCTTCTCCAGCCCTCCAGCTCCTCAGTATCTTGGGTGCCTACATGCACGTGCCTGGAGTATTTTCAGGCTAGCCTGGGACCCGTGGTGGGCCCAGGAGCTTCCAGCATTTCAACACAGTATGGTACAGATTGCAACAGCAGGTTGAGTGTTCTTGGGCTGGAAAGTTCAGAAGAATACAGCTGGAAAATCCCCGAGGTCCCTTCTTAGAATTTAACATTTTCTGATTCTTGTATTGATAAGTTAATAGCATTTCTCAGCAGATTCAAGGAGGTAATGCATTACTGAATTTGCTATGCCCTTACCACACACCTGTCCGTCGACGATGCTACTAGACACGGTAGGCAGTATGAAGAGAAGATAATACAGGCTGTCCTGCAAGCAGTACACATGGAGCGTGAGAGGGAAGCAGAAGAGAGCTCCTGTAACTTTCGTAACGTGGCTCACACTACATAGATAAGGCAACGAGGTTTTTTACCCCTCAAGATTACTGTGGATTTTATGAAGAAAAGGAAAATGAAGGTGAACAGCTTAGTTCTGCAAGAATTTTTAAGTTTTTGTTTCATTTACTCTTGGACGGAAAATAAATATAACAGAGGACAGAAGATAAATATAAGCATGGCACTAGAATCCAAAAGGAACAAAAAGGAGTGTGAACTAAAGACAGCCATGCTGCTCTTCCCAGTCCCATTCTCTGGCGTGCAGGCCAGCACTGTCACCAACTTCTTCCAAAGTCATGCTCTGTTTATAGAAGCACTTGCAGATTTGTTGGGTACCTTGGTTTCCCACGGCTGCTGTAACAAGTTATCACCGGTGACATGGTGGCTAAGGCACTGGACTCCAGATGGCTGACCATGGTTTGAGTTCCAGACCCAGCGGCTTGAAAATCACACCGGGCACGGGTCCAAAATCCCGAAAGAAAAATGGAAAAGAGATTGCAGTGTGGCCAACCATCCCCTTGCCCCCAGTGATTTCTCACTTCCCCTCTCTCTGTCTCTCTATTTCCTAGCAAGTGCACGTGTCCTATGACAAAAACTTCAAAACAAAACAAAAAACCAGAAATGTATTCTCTCATAGTTCTGGGTGTGGTGTCAGAAGTTTGAAGTTAATATCACTGGGCTGAAATCAAGGTGTTGGCAGGGCAGGACTCTCTCTAGAGGCTCTGGGGAGAGTCTCTTGCCTGTTCCAGTTCATGGTGTCTGCTCGCCTTCCATAGCTTGTGGCCACAGCACTCCAGTTTTCTTTTCTTTTTTTTTTTTTTTTTTTTTTTTTTTTTTTTTGGGGGTTTTTTCTTATGGGGCGGGTGGCCCCCGGGCGCGTGCGCACGCCAGACAGAGACATAGAGACAGAAAGCGAGAAGTCACCCCCCCAGGGGGGATGGTCACGCCGCAATCCCTTTTCCTCCATTCTCCTCTCGGGATCTTGGGCACGTACACGCGCCCGGCGTGAGTTTTAAGCCACCGGGTCCGGGACGCGAACCGCGGTTGACTACGTGGGAGTCCAGCGACATAGCCATTATGCTAACTGCTGGTTCCCAGCACTCCAGTTTTCAAAGCCAGTATCTTCAAATGTCTGTGTACTGTCTCCATGTGACTTTTCTGTGTGTGTGTGTGCATGCTTGGGTGCAGTAGGGCAGGGCGGGGTGACTCCCTCTGCCTAGCTCTCTTATAAGACTATATATGATTATATTTTGGGCTCACCTGGTTTATTCAGGATAATTCCACCATCTCAGAATCTTAGACTTAATCATATTTACAGAGACTTTGCCACGTAAGATAATATTCACAGGACCCCGGGGATTAGGATTTTTTGCAGGGAGGCGGAGAGCGTATTTCAGCTTATTACAGTCATAAAACAGATAACATACTGTACACATTTTTCTAGTAGTGAAAAACTGGATTAGCCTAAAGGTCCATTAAATAAACTCAGATCTACCCATAGAATGGAGTAAGGCATAACCACTAGGAAGAATGAAGTACATGCTGACAGGGACCGTGTTTACTAAAGCAGAAGAAGGCAAGTTGCAGAAGGCGCATACGAGTAAGGGGAACATTGGAAAGAAAGACATTAGACTTAAAAATGGCTAGGGAGTAACACAGAACTTGTACCTTTGTATGGTACACTTTCGTGTTGTTCGTCATTTTAAAATCATGCTTTATAATAAATCCTGAAAAAAGAGGGCGTGCATTTTCTGAATGAATTATGTTGCACGAGTAATAGAGAATGACTAAAATGTTGTTCGGGGGTTTGTTTTCTAGATAGCAGACCCTACATTAGCTGAAATGGGGAAGAACTTGAAGGAAGCGATGAAGATGCTGGAGGATGCTCAGAGGTGAGGGTGGAGAACTGTTGTGTTCACCCACTTGTGAAACTGCTGGCTCTGGTTTCCTTCTTTTGAAAATGCCTCCTGGCTTCAGAATGTCATGCATAGCTTCATCTGACTTTAAAATTGGTATTTGTTTTGAGTAGAAGGCACTTTGTAATGAAAGGATTTTGAAATTGAGGGGGAGGACATATAATTTTCAGTTCTATTAAGAGTTTCATTTACTTAATGTATTTATTTGAATCTGTAAATACTTCTTACTATAGATTTAGGTCATATGGGGTATCAGCTAAGAAATGGGTTGAAGTGGGTTTTGTTGTTTTGTTTTATTTTATTTTATCTTATTTTATCTTCAGGTTCTCTTGTTGTTTTGTTTTTTGTTTTTTTGAGAGATTTTTGCTAGTCTAGGGTGTGTGTGCTGGCCAGACAGACAGAGAGAGACATTAGAGATAGAAAGTGAGAAATTACCCCCCAGGGGGGATGGTCACGCCGCAATCCCTTCTCCTCCATTTTCCTCTTGGGATCTTGGGCACATGTGCCCGGCGTGAGTTTTAAGCCACCGGGTCCGGGACGTGAACCGCGGTCGACTACGTGGGAGTCCAGCGACATAGCCATTACGCTAACTGCTGGTTCCCAGGTTCTCTTGTTTTTCAGAAACTCAAACTGTACCCAAAACTGGGAGTGGGGAGATGTGATAAATGTGTTCCAAATCTTGTATTACCAAGAGGTTGTAGGCAGCATGGCCATGTATTTGCTTGTTCAGATATTAAAAATTCAATATGATAAAATAGTTTTTTCTTTGATTTTGATTAGAAGAACAGAGGAGGAAAATGGAAAGAAGCTCATATCTGGGGATATTCCAGGACCACTCCAGGGCAGGTAGGTGGCATTGAAGATCAGTACCTTTAGTTAGAGAATACATTTTTCTTAAACCAAGATTTTATCATCATTGATTTATAATTTTAGTTTTAATGGACGCAAAGCAAATTTAAATAGAGTTGTGTGCAGTATAACATTAGAAACCTGAAATGCCACCGCCTGGTTGGTAATGACGCCAAGCCTACTGGCTTGTTTCCCTTTCCCATTCAGAATTTAATACAACCTATGACTCAAGAGCAATGCATGAATTTGTAGTTATAACTGGAATAGCATTCTTAGTTCATCCTTGAAACCTGTAATCTGTTCAGTAGATAGTTTCATTGTGAGAGATATTTTAACTTGGTAAGATTTATCATGTGTATGATATAAGAAATGAAGGGAAAATGCCAACTGTAATAATTTATTGGCAAAGTGGTTTATTTTTTAGCAACTAAAATAAATTTATCAAGTCTTTGTTTTGAACTAGCAGATAGAAAATCAGAAAAACAAGTAGCTGATTAAAATTTTCACAGGCTGTTACCAGTCAATCTGGAATTAAAGTCACATGCCAACTTCCCTGAGATAAACCTACTTTTTGTCTTTTATAACCAGGAAACTGCACATAGGTAAACAGTACAACTCCCTCACTTTGTCCTTTGACCTGAATGTAAGTTGTACAAGGTTGCAGAAGGAAAGTGTGGCGGGAGGATCACAGTGTGTCAGTAGATGCCTCATCTAACACACCAGATAGATACTGGGAATTTGAATAGTCACTCCTGTTTGTAGCAGGAAT